CTCTCACCCCCACCTTACCAAACATGATATCCTTCTCCAGTGACTGCTCTCTTCTGACAATATGTCCAAAGTATGAGAGATGAAGTTTGGCCTTCTTGGCCTCCAAGGAGCACTCTGGCTGTACTTCTTCCAAAATGGATCTATTGGTTCTTTTAGCAGCCCATGGCACTTTCAATATTCTCCTCCAACATCATAACTCAAAGGCATCAATTCTTCTACAGTCTTCCTTATTCATTGTCCAGCTTTTGCATGCATATGAGGTTACTGAAAACACCATGGCTTGGGTCAGGCACACCTTAGTCTTCAAGCTGACATCTTTGCTCTTCAACACTTTAAAAAGGTCTCATGCAACAGATTTGCCTAATGCAATACATTGTTTGATCTCTTGACTATTGCTTCCGTGAGTGTTGATAGTTGATCCAAGAAGAATGAAGTCCTTGACAACGTCAATCTTTTCTCTGTTGATAAGAATGTTGTTTATTGGTCCCATGGTGAGGATTTTTGTTTTCTTTACATTAAGATGTAATTCATACCGAAGGCTGTGCTTTTTGATCTTCATTAGTAAATGTTTTAAGTCCTCTTTACCTTCAGCAAGCAAGGTTGTATCATCTGCATATCTCAGGTTTTTAATAAGTCTTCCTCCAATCCTGATGCCATGTTTTTCTCCATAGAACCCAGCTTCTCGAATAAGTCTTCCTCCAATCCTGATGCACATTTTTCTTCATAGAACCCAGCTTCTCAGATTATTTGCTCAGCATACAGGTTGAGTAAGTATGGTGAAATAATACAACCTTGTCACACACCTTTCTTAATTTTAAAAAATTCAGTGTTCCCATGTTCTGCTTGAACTGTCTTTTGGTCCAGGTACAGATTCCTCATGAGCACAATTAAGTGTTCTGGAATACTCATGCTTCTCAATGTTGTCCATAGCTTGTCAGGATCCACACAATCAAAAGTCTTTGCGTAGTCAATAAAGCACAAGTAAACATCTTTCTGATATTCTCTGTTTTCAGCCAAGATCCATCGGACATCAGCAATGATATCCCTTGTTCCACGACCTCTTCTGAATCTGGCTTGAACCTCTGGAAGTTCTCTGTCAATGTATGATTGTAGCCGTTGTTAATTAAATGTTTGAACAAATAAAGCAGGCTAATTTTTTAGTTGACAACTTTGTATGGTCTGATAATGATGTTAGAAATATCCAAATGGGCCTTGGCAGAAAAAAGGTTCCCCATCCCTGCTTTACACTAATAAAGAGAACTCTGAAAATGAAATCAGGAAAACAATGCCATTTACAATAGCCACCCAAAAGATGAAATACTTAGGAAATTATAACCAGAGCAACAAAAAACCTACACAAAGAAAACTGTAAAATATTACTACAAGAAATAAAGAGACCTACAAAAATGGAAGAATATATGATTATCCTCATGGATAGGTAGACTTATCATTGTGAAAATGTCAATACTACCTAAAGATAACTATAGATACAATATAATCCTAATCCGATTCCAACATCATTCCTTAAAGACATGGAAAAACTAACCACTAAACAGCCTGGTACTGGTACAATGAAAGACACATATAACAATGAATCAGAATTGAGAACCCAGAAGTAAATCCATCTACCTTGGTCAGCTATCTTTCACAAACAGCCAAACCACATCAAATGGGGAAGAAATAGTTTAAGATATTTGTTGTTAAGTGCCGTTGAGTCAGTTCTGACTCATAATGACCTGTACAGGGTTTCCAAGGAGCAAAACTGGTGAGCTTGAACAGCCAACCTTGTAGTTCAAACTTGCAATCCAGGCATTAACCCATAGTGCCACACCAGGACTCCTTTAAGATATGATGCTAGCAAACATGGAAATCCATTTGCAGAACAATAAAACAATATCCATATTTCACACCATATACAAAAACAAACTCAATATGGATTTAAAATCTGCTAAATGTAAATCCTACTAGAACTGTAAAGATCGCCAATGAAAAAACAGGGACAAGCTTAGGAGCTCTGATACATGGCACAAATACAACTGGAAAAAAAAAAAAAACAAGACAAATTACATGACTGGTACCTCCTAAAAATTAGACAATTTATGTGCATTAATCCAGAAACCCGGAGTCCTGGTGTGGCGCTGTGGGTTAATGCACCAGAATACAAGGTTGATGGTTCAAGCTCACCAGCTGCTCCTCAGAAACCCTATACAGGGTTGCTATGGGTCAGAACCGACTCAAGGGCACTAACAACAACAACAACAATCCAGAAGCCCTGGTAGCGTCATGGGCTACATATTGGGTTGGTAACCATAGGGTCAGCAGTTTGAACCCACTTCTTGGATTGTGATAGGATACACCTAACAACAACAACAACAACTTGGGAGAAAGAAGTTTTCTGCTCCCAAAAAGATTTACAGCCTTAGAAACCCCATCCAGGGTTTCCATGAGTTAGAACCGACTTGATGGCACTAGCAGCAGCACATGCATCAAAAGATTTCACTATAGAGTAAAAGGAGATCCTACAGACTGGAAAACAATGGTGGGCAATGACATATCAGACAAGGGATCAGTCTGTAAAATACTTCAACACCTCAACAACAACAACAAAAGACAAATAATCCAATTTAAAAACAGGCAGAGGGCATGAACAGACACTTCACAAAGAAGATATTCAGGTAACCAACAAACATATGAAGAAATGTTCATTATCATTAGCCATTGGTGGTGGTGGTATGTGCCGTGGAGTTGGTTCCAAGTCATAGCAACCCTGTACAGGGTTTTCAAGGCTGTAAATCTTTACGGGAGCAGAAAGCCTCATCTTTCTCCTGCGGAACAGCTGGTAGTTTCCAACTGCTGACCTTAAGGTTCACAGCCCGATTTGTAACCACTACGCTACCAGAGCTCCTTATCATTAGCCATTAGAGAAATGCAAATCAAAACAATAATGACTTATTATCTCACCACATCATTAATAGCAAAGTTAAACAAAACAAAACAAAAACCAGAAAACAACTAATGTTGATAAGGGTATGGAGAAGCTGCATCCTCCTACACTGCTGGTTGCTGCTGTTAAGTGCCATGGATTAGGTCCCAACTCAGAGTGACCTTGTATAGGGTTTCCAAGGAGCAGCTGGTGAATTTGAACCACTGACCTTGCAGTTCAAATTGATTTAGCGGTCCAGTGTTTTTATCCTACAGGGCCAGGCCAGGACTCCTGCTGATTGTTGTTGTTTTTAAATGCCTTAAAGTGGGTTCTGATTCATAGTGACCCGGTATAGGGTTTTTTTCAAGGAGCAGCTGATGAGCTTGAACTGCCAAACTTGCGGATCAAAACGACTTTGCAGTCCAGCGCATTAACCCACAGCCCACACCAGGACTCCATAAATAACTGTATGATTTAGCAATCCCTCTACTTGGTATATCTCCTCAAGACAAAGAATCGTGACATGAATAGATAGATGCACATCCATGTTTTGGGATTTTTAAGGGCCAGTATCGGAACACTATCAGGAAAAAGGTTCAATAACCAACAGCGTCACATAGGAAACCCTATGGAGCACTTCTACGTTGTCCTACAGGGTCGCTATGAGTGGAATCAACAGGACAACATCCAACAATACCCTTAGGAGACCAGTTCTCTCCTAGACATCATTGTGTTATTTCATTCTAATTAAGAGGCCTGGTAAGTAAAAATGTGGTAGGTGGAGCCTTTACTATTTGGACACTGAGTTAATCCACACGGAGTACTTTCTGTGGGTAAAACAGAAACAGTCTCTTGAACAAGAAAAGGCCCAGAAGAATGAGGCAGGTGGCAGAAGTTCCTCTTTTCAGCCTCTACTTCCTGCCTTTACTGGGGCTACAGAGTTCATTCAAAAGACTCAAGCGCCTACCCGTCCCACCTCTGCTTTACCTCTCTCACTCAAGAGATGGAGAGACCCAGGCAAGGCGAGGGGCTCCTACGTGCGGAGAGGCTAGAGCGAAGTGGGGTTCTGGATAGAGGAAGGGAGGCTGCCGACAGGATCGGAGCAGAGACCCGCACGGAGAGATTGGGGCAGGGGGGCAGTGGCGGGAATTGGGGTGAGGAACCAGAAGCAACGCTCAGCGAGACCAGTGGGGTTCACGTCAAGGTGTGATGGGCTGACAGCAATGGGATCTGAACCAGGGCAGAGGCTCAAGAAGAGGTAGAGCAGCCAGGGGTAGAGCAGCCCTGTCACTGCCATCTGGATTGATCTGAGAAGGAAGCGGACAGGAACCAAAGCATTTCGAAATAACAGAAAATAACCTCGAAGTCCAGGGCCCGGGTGGTGGCAGTAGCGGGAGCAAGGAGTCGCGCTCCAGGACAAATGCGGCTCCCGCAGGAGTGACGACGCACTAAAGGGGCTTGCCGAGGTGGGTCAGCTCCATCGGGAAGCCGGGACAGAGCGCTGCCGAAGCTCGCGCAGAGGGGACGGGCCTGAGGCCAAGAGGCACCCACCCTTCAGCGCCTCGGTTTTGCGTACCTGAGGTAGCCGCCTGGCTCCCCTCCACTCCTGGGTCATCCCCGATACCTCCGGCCGACCCTTCGCGGACTGCGGGGCTCCAGAAGCCCGGCCCCTCAGCCGCCTGCGGGTCAGACATCTGTAGCCCGCTTCGAAAGCGTTTTCGTGGTCAGCCGCGAGCACCTCCGGAAAAAGCCGAAGGTCGAGCGAGCGCTGCCGCTGCGCGGCGCCGGGAAGCGTCGAGCGGAGCCCGTGGGCCGGAAGCGGAGGCCGCGGCGGCCACAGGCAAAGCGCGCCCGCTCAGCAGCGGTCGCAAGAGCACTAGTCAGCCAAGGCTTGCGACGCGTACGTTGAGGAGGGTTACTGCGTGCTTTTGATGGCAGATTTTAAAAGTCTACGACTGAAAGAACAAATAAAATCGGGGGAACGTTCAAGAGCACTTCCGGTAGCCGCGGTATCCATAGAGACGCTGTCGGAAGTTGGGGTTGCTAGGATGCTTGGGCGCGACCGCTAAACTGCGTAATGGCGGAGGTCCCTGAAAATAACTATTCTGGATCCGACGAAGATGAGGACCCGAGTACTGAGAGACCCAAACTTCTTAAGCGGACTGAAGGTGGCGAACCAGACAACCCTGCAGAGGTAAGCCAGGAACTACCCATAGAGAGTCACCAAGAACTACAGCCAAAGACGACCTTAGAGACTGAGGAAGACAACTTTGAAGAAGGGGAGCCAGAGAATGTTAAGAATATGCAGCTAAAACCAACCAGGACACCCAAGGTAGAAATATCCAACGAGTTAGGTACAGATGTATCTGGAAAGAGTGAGCCAAAGATTCCCCAAAAGACATCCAGAGAGATGGGAGGAGAGTTCGTCATTGATCCAGAATTCCCTCTGGTTGAAAAGCATAAGGAACTATACATAGAGCCACAAGAGGAAATCTTACTACAAGTTACTGAGAATGTACTCATTGAGTCAGTTAGGGTAGCAGATCTAGAGCTACCAAAGGAAACCAAGTCTGAGGTCCTAGGGACAACACACGATGAGGCAAGATTAGAATTACTAGAGAAGTCCAAGCCTGAGGTTTCAGAAGAATCGCTTAGAGAGCAATATAAAGAGATAATTCTAGAGCCTCCAGAGCTGACAAAACTAGAATTCCCAAGTGATACACCAAGAAAATCAGTTGAAGAAACAGATTTACAGCCACAAAAAATGACTAAGACAGAGATTCCAGATGAAGCAGGAAGAAAGTCAGTTGAGGAACAAGGGGTAGAGCCACTGGAGCAGACTACTGTAGAGTTTCCAGAGCAGGAATCAAGAAAGTCTATTGAGGCAGGTCTAGAACCTCCAGAAAAAACTAAACCAGAGATTCCAGAGGAGACCCTAAGGAAGTTAACTGAGGAACAAGGGACAGTGCCACCTGAGCAGACTTCAGTAGAGTTTCCAGAGCAGAAACCAAGAGAGTCTACTGAAGATACAAGAAGAAGCTCAACTAAGGAGAGAGTCCCAGAGGCACTCGAGGAGATGAAGTCAGAGTTTCCCGAGGAAAAATCAAGAAAATCAGTTGAGGAAACAGGTCTAGAGCCACTAGAAAATACCAAATCAGAGGAGTCAAGACGAGAGTCAAATGAAGAAAAGATTCCAGCACCACTAAAGGAGACTGATCCAGTGCTGCCACAGGAGATCAAACCAGAGGTTCAAGAGTTACCAGATGAAACCAAACCACTATTTAGAGAAGGGACAAATGTAGATTCATCCAAGGATGATAGATTAGAACCAATCAAGTTTCAGTACTCTGGAGAAGTCAATGAACAAGAGCACCCCAACTATCAAATTAAAAAGTTATCAAAAAAAGACTCTCTGCTAAACAGAGACAGTGAAACAGAATTGTCAGAAACAGATGATGAGTTTTCTAAAGAACCACTTAAGCCAACTGATATTCTAATAGAAAATGCAAGCTTATATTCCTTAGAGTCTCTAAGAGACTTAGAAAAGTCCTTAGAAAAAATAAATTTGTCTGAAGAGATGGTAGAACTGGTATTTGAAGATAAAGAAACTCCGCCTGAAAAGGAATTTAAGCTACAATTTGAGTATCTTAAGTGGAGCCCTAAAGACGTTGCAGAGTGGATTAGCCAACTAGGCTTCCCTCAATATAAGGTATATAAAAATAATATTTTTTTGAAATCAAATGCTCTCTCTTCTGCCTAACCTTGTAACTTTCCTAAGCTCTTACCTTTTCTTCTGAAAGAGTGTAGAAAAGTTCTGGACTGTGGTAGAAGTAACTTTGATTTTAATTTTGACCTTGCCATCATTGCATATTTGTATTTTAAGAAGAAAGAATGGCATCTTGTTTGGTTTTTTTCTTATTTTTCCCAGTGAGCGCATTTTTCTCTGCAATCCTTAAAGACTAAGAAACAGAGGATTTTCATAGAAAACTCAACTGTTGATAGGTTTTATTCAAGGTAGGCTTTTTGATAGTCTGTAAATTGATTTAGTGGCTGTGGACTGCTAACCACAAGTTTGGTGGTTCAAACTTACCAGTTGCTCCTTGGAAACCCTATACAGAGTCCCTGTGAGTCTATACCAACTTGACATCACTTCACAGCAGCAACAACTCTTACCTTGAACTTGTACTATTTAAATGTCTGCCATAGAAATGTCCTATATATCACAAGTAACTGAGAGTACTAATTTAATTAGCAATTAACCAAAAATAGTTGTTATTTAAAAGATATGATAGTCTCTCATTTCACTGTTGTTTATAGGAACCATAAAACTACACAGTAATTGAAATCTTTTGTACTCCCTTTACTAAAAAATGCTATTGAAGCATGAAGAAGCATTAGTCAAAAGAGCATGTAAAAAAGTTTACATGACATTTGTGTATGTAATGTGGAAACGGTCACATATTGGTATATCCAACTATGCCCTCACATAGCTACCAAGTTCTGCCAGATAAATGTCTTACTCTGTTTATGTTAATAGATGATGGAACTGTTTGTGAGCTCCAATTTCTACTTATATATAGTGTTCTGAATTTTCCAAATACAATTAAGGAACTGAATTAGCTGTTTGAAATTTAATCAGGAGCATAGATGGAAAACATGTATTATTAGGATAGAAAATAAAATTTAAAAATTTTTCTAATTATAGAACGGTAGACAAACATGATCTCTTCTCTTTCTTTTTTCCCCCCTACTATTTGCAGTACACCTTTCGAGTGATGTTCTTATTATACTGACAGGGATGTTTTACCACAAACTTCATCAGTGGCCAGAAACTCATCTATGTAAACTGCTCAAACCTCCCTCAGATGGGCATAACAGATTTTGAGGACATGAAGGTGAGTTGTGTACATAGTTTTCTTATAATATACTAACAAGTACTACCTCTTTTTCTTCTAACCAGACCTCCTATTTCAGTCAATGATGTCACCTTACTCCCAGTCCCTCATCCACAAAGGATCCTCTCCTTTGATCCCCACAAAACCCCTAAAAACTATCAGTTCCTCCTGTGGTTTTCTCTAATCCTACTTGTTCAGATCTCTAGACCCTGATACCTGGAACACTTTGTTTCATCTTAGCTTAAATATTCATTGTTGGGTAGACATGCTTTTCCCATGTAGTTTGAAGGAGGTTCAGGATCATCATGTAAGAAAAATTTCATGCCTTGGTGCCCATTTTGACAGCTCTTCAGTCTTTCTTTAAAGTTTTTATTGTGATAGTTTACATGGGAGAACATCAGTTTTGCGCTCATCATTTCATTGCAATGAATACAGTCCCCTCCATGCTTCATCATTCAACAATATTTGCTTCTATTCCCTCTGGTTTTTGTTTTTGATTTTTGGGGGTTTTATTTTTTTTTTTTTATGTACACAAAAACACTCACGAATATATAATTTTTAAACAACCAAACAGCACATTCTGCAAGCCTACCTCCTGGCTGCCGGCACACAACCTTTCTCTTCCTATGAGTCTAAAGTCTTCAGCTTCCCATAGAACTTTTTAAACACATGTCTATCCTGTAGCCAGTGACTCACTGTCTTCTCCTCTCCTACCCCTGGTAACCGTCAAAGAATGTATCTTTTAGTGTGAAAACCTGTTTTGGATTTTTAAAAACAGTGGTCTTACACAGTATTTGCCCTTGCATATCTGACTTATTGCACTTAGCATAAGACCTTCATGTTCATCCATCTTAGGAGGTGTTTTGCAGATTCATCATTGTTCTTTAATACTGCATATTATTCCATTGAGTGTATGTACCAAAGTTTGTTTATCCACTCTTCCACTCGTGAGCATTTGGGCTGCTTCCACTGTTTTGCTATTGTGAACAGTGCTGCAGTGAACATATTGTTGTTATGTGCCATGGAGTTGGTTCCGACTCAAGTGACCCTGTACAGGGTTTCCGAGGCTGCAAATCTTTACAGGAGCAGAAAGCCTCATCTTTCTCCCGCGAAACAGCTGGTAGTTTCGAACTGCTGACCGTGATATTAGCAGCCCGATTTGTAAACATGGATGTACATATATCTATTTTTGTCATGATTCTTATTTCATGGGGATATATACCAAGTAGAGAGATTGCTGGGTCAAAAGGTATTTCTATTTCTAACATTCTGAGGAAGTGCCATACCATTTTCTATAGTAGTTGCAGCATTTTACTGCCCACCAACAGTGTATGAAAATTCTAGTCTCTCCGTATCCTCACTAGCATTTTTTGTTTTCTCTTTGTTTTGTGTGGGTGTGTGTTTTAACTTTGCTATTAATGCTGGGGTGAAATGACATCACATTGTTGTTTTGATTTGCATCTCTCTAATGGCTAATGATCACGAGCGTTTCTTCATGTATTTGTTGGCTACCTGGATGTCTTCTTTGGTGAAGTGTCTGTTCAGGTCCTCTGCCCATTTTTTAAATTGGGTTATTTGTCTTTTTTCTTGTTGAGATGTTTTAAGTTTTTTATAATTTTAGAAACTAGTCCCTTTTTTGATATGTCCTTGCCAGAAATTTTTCCCAGTCTGTAGGTTTTTTGGTGAAATCTAATTTTTAGGAAGTCCCAGTCATCTAGTTTGTCTTCTGCTGTTTGTGTGTTTTCAGTTGTGTGTAATAGTATATTTATGCTAAGTATTAGGGCCCCTAAGTTTGTCCTTCATTTTTCATTGATGATCCTTATAGTTCTAGGTTTTCCATTTAGGTCTTTGATCTGTTTTGAGTCCATTTTTTCATATGGCGTGAAATACAAGTCATGTTTTATTTTTCTGCAAATGGATATCCAGGTTTTTTTTGTTGTTGTTGATTTAAATTTGTATTGGTACTTGTGTGTTTCTCTTATTACTATTTTTTAAATTGTGAGTTGAATAATAGTTTACATGGGAGAACATCAGCTTTACATTCATTCTATTGTATTTCGTTTCATTGCAATGATATACAATCCCCTCCATGCATCATCATTCAACAGCATTTGCTTCCAGTCCCTCTGTTTTTTTGGTTGTTTTTGGATGTACACCAAAGCACTCAGGAATATGTAACCATTCAAACAACCAAACGGTGCACCCTGCAATCCTGCCCCTTGACCGTCAGCACACAGCCCCTCTTCCTCCCTGAGTCCAGAGTCCCCAGCCACTCCATCTCTCCACATCATTGTCTCTGCCTCCATCTCTGGTGTCTCTCCTTCTCTGGATAGGGTTCCATACTCTGCTTTTCTCCCTTGATGGGCCCAGGGTCCTTCCTCCTGGACTGCAAGGTCAACCACTCCCCTCCTTTTGTTACAAAGCATCTACCTTTCCATATGCAACATTCACAGTCAGTCTGGATAGCTGGGTATCTCCAGTTTTGCTAACACTATTTGTCAGACTGTTCCTTCCCTATTTAATGTGTTTCAGTCCTTTGTCAAAGATCAGCTGTCCATATGTGGATGGATTTACTTCTGGGTTTTCCATTCTGTTCCATTGACTTAATATGTTTATACTTGTACCAGTACCAGGCTATTTTAACAACTGTGGTTGTATAGTAGGCTTTGAGAGTGGGAAGTGAGAGTCCTCCTATTTTGTTGTTCTTCTTTTAATAGTTTTTTTTTTATCCGGGTGTCTTTCCTTTCTGTATAAAGTTGGTACTTAGTTTTTCCATCCCTTTAAAGAATGATGCTGGTATCTGGATTGGGATTTTGTATATCTGTAGATCATTTTGGGTAGGATGCACATTTTCACAATGTTAAGTCTTCTATCCATAAGCATGGTATGTCCTTCCATTTATGTATGTGTATGTCTCTTCTGGTTTCTTGTAGCAGTGTTTTGTAGTTCTGTTTGTATAGGTCTTTTGTTTCTCTAGTTATATTGATTCCTTGGTGTTTCATCTTTTGAGTGGCTATTATAAATGGTAATTATCCTGGTTTCCTTTTCAGAGCAAAGGAATTTGACTTATTTGTGCGTATTTATAGTGGTTACAAATCAGGTTGCTAACCTTAAGGTCGGCAGTTAGAAACTACCAGCTGTTACACAGGAGAAAGATGAAGCTTTCTGCTCCCGTAAAGGTTTACAGCCTCGGAAACCCTACGCAGGGTCACTATGAGTCGGAACCAACTCCACGGCACTCAGCAACAACAACAATCTTGTATTCTGCCACTTTGCCAAATCTTTCAATGAGTTCCAACAATTTTCTTGCGGAGTCTGGGATTTTCTATCTATAGGATCATATCATATGCAAACACAGAATTTTACTACCTCTTGACCAATTTAGATGCCTTTCATTTCCCTTTCTAGCCTTTTACCTCTGGCTAAGACTTCCAGAAGAATATTCAATAGAAACAGTGATAAAGGGCATCCTTGTCTGGTTTCCATTTGCAAGGAGTGCGTTCCTATCCATTGAGAGTAATATTAGCCATTGGTTTTAAATATATGCCATTAATTATGTTCAGGTATTTCCCTTCTATTCCTATTTTGTTGAATTTTTAAAATCAGGAATGGTGTTGGATTTTGTCAAGCACCTTTTCTATGTCGATCAATATGACCATGTTTTTCTTTTCTTTTATTTATGTGGAGGATTACATTTATTGTGTTTGGGGGAGTTTTTTGTATGTATTGATTGTTCGTTTATTGTTTTTTGAACGTTGAATTATCCTTGCATACTTGTTATAAATCTCACTTGGTCATGATATATTATTTTTTTCATTATGTTCTTGGATTCTACTGGCTAGAATTTGTACATCTGTGTTCATGAGGGATATTTGTCTCTGCTTCTCTAATTTAGTGATGTTTTTGCCTGGTTATGTTTTGCAAGGTTATGCTCACTTCATCACATAAATCTGAGAGTTTTCCATCCTTTTCTATACTCTGTAATAGTTTGAAGTGACCATAAAGTCTTCCTGACCTTCCAAGCCCACAGTAACCTCTCCTCCCAAGCTCTCATATTTTATTTCCCCAACACTCACTTGGCACTTATATAACACAGTATGTTTTACTTGTTTTGAAATAACATTAACCTCTCTGGGGTTCAGTTTCCTAAGCTCTCTCCAGCATTAATAGTTACGCTTCTTGGTATAATAGTGCCCTCCATTAGCATTTTGGCATGCCTGGTGTGGCACCTGTGGGTTAATACGCTGAACTGCCAGGTCAGCTTGAACCACAAGCTCGCCAGCCTCTCCTTGGAAACCCTATGCAGGGTCGCTATGAGTTGGAACCAACTTGAGGGCACTTAACAACAACAACATATATAGTACTTTACAGTTCACAAAGCTTCTCAAATGTAATCTGTCTATAACAATTCCTTTTGCAGTGTCACCCCACATATCCATGGGTTCACTAAGTAAATCCATGCTCAAAAATGCGCTTCTAACGTTGGATAGTCTTTGGAATGAGATGAGATTTAAAAGAAAAAAATTCCTTGATCTCACCCTCCAGAAATTTTGATTCATTCGGACCCCTGAAGGAAAACAAATGACCATCATTGTGTTCTCCCCGATTCTGATTCCCACCCCTACAGGTGCCCTCCACGAGGCAGTCCACCCCAACCATCACTCATCTCTCAGCTCTCCCTACTGTGATGGCATGTGGATGGCTGTGATGCTGGAAGCTATTCCACCCATATTTTAATACCAGCAGGGTCCCCCATGGAGAGGTTTCAGCAGATCTTCCAGACTAAGACAGACTAGGAAGAAGGAGAGGCTGACTAATTCTGAAAGCTTAGCCACTGAAACCCTTATGAATAGCAGTGGAACCGTGACATATATAGCACCAGAAAATGTGCCCCAAAGTTTGGAAGGCACTCAAAATAATGACTGAGGAAGAGCTGCCTCCTCAAAGTAGAGTTGACATTAATGATGTGAATGGTGTAAAAACTTTTGGGACCTTCATTT